TGCAGTTACAAACTAAGACCATAATCGTATCCAAGTGATCATAACCAAGTGAAAATAGGTTGACAATGACTGGTGGTGTATACTTATCTTTATCTAGCTCTATTTTACGATTATAGTCTGAGTTTGTAACTGCACAATGTTAAAATGGGCTAAAAATAAGTTATAAAATGTTCTCATAGCTTTAGAATGGATCAAGATTTTTTAAAACGGATTGCAGCATCATATTCAGCGTAAAAATTTTGTTTGAAACGATGGGTCACAATCCTACCTTTACATTTGAAAAAAAAAATTGTATCCAATATGGCAGATCCAAGATGGCGGCCAAAATTTTATACCCAGTTAAAATGAAGTACTTACTACTCTACAATGATCTGACGTGGTCCGGAGTTGATATCTTAAGAAATGTAGAAAAAAGTAGGGGGGGAACTCATTTAAAACTCACCCTGTATATAAGCATCAGTGGTGTGGTTGTACATTTTCCAATGTTGGAACGCTCACCACTCTATAAATACATTTCCCTTATTCAAATATAGGATTATTGGAAAAAACTGATTAGGAACGCCATTCCCACGTTCCCGCACCACTACACCACTGATACTCATGTATTCTTGGACCATTCTCAAGCTATAACAATACCATGCACAACAGGACTTGGACTTAAAATTACATCAATTCTTCATGTTTTAAAGACTTACACCAAATTCTACTGAGTCTTCATCATTTGCTCCTACACTTTGGGAAAATCGAACCAGACTTATCGTAAAGAACAGAAGTAACCTTTACAAACAAATTGATCATTGCAAAAAAGAGAGAGTAGGCCTAAAAATCTGAATCTTTGGAATCAAGAAGTTTGATAAAAATACTGATAGATAAATCAAGATAAATTGTAGCATTACATTGTTGAAGTTAATGGTAATGTAAATTTTAAGGAGCATTACAACCATTTTGCATATTAAACAAAAATTAAGGGGGGGACATAAAAAATAAACATAATATTTGCCTCTCCTTAATCATAAAAATAAACTTGACTTTAACTACTCGATCAATACATAAACACTATTTCCTTCACTTATGTCTAATATTGCAACTAAAATTCAGTCAAAAAACTGTTTATACGTTTTTTCGAGGAACAGGCAACATAACCTAGAAGTAAACAATCCATTTGTGTTTTTCCTCAATTAAAGTAGAGCGAGTAATACAAAAGTTTACAATGAAAAAATAAAGTCCGCCAAGATTTGGCATAATCTTACTAATTGAACTTATCAACTCAAGGCATTATTATGGTTTCTAATAAATGTTTTGAAATATCTCAATCCGCCAGTGTCATAGCCTAAGTAAAATCTCTTGCATACATTAATTTGATATGACATTAGGCAAGTTTATTTTACAACCGTGACAACACGGCTTCATATGGGCTTCGTATATTTTTTCACTTCCAAAGTAAGTTGCATAGCAAAACTGGCAAATATAATTCATCTCACCAAGTGCATGTGTATATGGATGTGTATCTGTTAGATCAGACCTCTCTTTCTCTACTCCCCTCAAACACATAAGATACCTTATTATTAATTGTTTCCTCCTCCCGTTTACAATATTTCGTCTTTCAGCTTGAGGCATTTTCCGTTCTTCCAACAAAACTGATTAACTGTTTAACTTGGTCTTAACCTACTGAATATTAAAACATTAATATTTACTCCCAAAAAGCTAATGCGTTTCTTTTTATAAACAGCTGTTTTTTGTTTTTAAAATTGTTCAATGTATTTCTTATGGGGAAAACCCGACCTTTGAGAGGGTCTCACGCCCTTAAAAATAGAAATTTTAAAGTTCTAAAACCTTATTGCAAAACTACATATTGAGACGAATCTTTTGACACGTTAAACGTTGAAATTGGTCCACAAATAAGGGAGGAGTTGCGTTAACAAAATACGGCTTCACGTATTATATATATAGATAGATTATTAACTTGTTAAAAAGTTATGAATCTTAAAGGTTGTTTTTTGCTAAATAGGATAACTAGTAAATCCTCCTATAGGCCAATATCTAAGACAATAACAAAACAATATAAGTAATAATTACTATAAATAAGTATAAATAGTGCTTTTAACATCCAATAACAAGGAATTTACAAATAAATGCATTGGATGCACTTTGAAAAGTCTATAAGATTTGCGTTTAGAGCTAATATAAATTTCTGTAAGAATTTCAACAGTAGTAAAATACTTAAAATTACTGAGCAAGGTATTTGATTTAGCAACACAGCATTCAAGCACCCATGTGCATGTGAAGCATATTGAATCAAAATTTTGTGTAGGATAACAATCTGACAAAAGATATTTCCAATCACAAATTAATAGAAACAATAAACTATGTTGTAACACTTTAAACCTAGAGTCCTGAATACAGATTAACGGGCCATCAAGAATAAAATAGACAAATTTTGATTCACTAAAAACTTACATCTCTACACATTCATAACTCAACAATGAAGGACGGAGACTACCTGAGATGTGCTGCAGCCTAGGGGTACAGCCTAGTACTATTAAGCTTGGACTTTGGGTTCACCAATGTGGTGGGGTTGTCAGTTTGGTCAAGCAAAACATAGACTGAGGTTTGTTATTTACCTCAGATAGGTCTCATGTGTCAGTCAGTGGCAGAACTTAAATAATACGATGATCAGCTTGGGTGTAAATTGACAGGATGGGCAGATTCTTTGTGAGTTCACACATCGCATCACATCGAGAATATAGGTTTGTACCCGTCCCTACCACCAAAAGGTTGTAGGTAGGTAGTTAGGTCTGTCAACCAAAGGTTGTTTTATGAGAATTTGTTTTTTTTTTTACATGAAGAGAAGAAAAGTCAATGACAAATCCCTGTGAGCGTAGTGTTAAGAGTGAAAAGGTAATATGACTCTCAAACGAGTATCTCCAACTACATAAATAATTGTGAGTGTTATTGAGTACAGTTCGGCCAAAACTTCTGTGCACACGGACGGGTCGCTACAAGCCGAACTAAAGCATACGGGTACCGGTTATTGGCAGTGCTGGGTATAGGGGTGAGTGAGTAGCAATACACAAATGTTTTCACCAAAGTACCGCCACCAACCCCCTTGCCTATACCCAACCAGATCTGGTCGCGTGCACAGAAACTTTGGCTGAACTGTAGTAAACCCCTACTGTTAATAAACAAGGTATCGGAAGAAATAAAAATTAGTAAATTAGTGTTTTTACAAACAAAATAAACATGATTTATAGAATTTTAACTTATTTTATGTATGTATTTGGAGGACAATTAAAATTGGAAAGGAACTAAGTTTAGAGATCTTAAATAGGTACTCTTTAATCATACCTTTTATACCTTTTTTTAAGTTATTCTTACACACATCATTTTAATTATCTGCTGATGATATAACCAAATGTTTCAACAGTCTAAATTATATTCTACGTATAATGTTATGACAATTGACAGAAGCCTCTTATTTTAAGCTATTCCAAGGTGAAGGATCACATTTTCTGGATAGTTAAGCTATCTTAACTGCAAATTGAATGAATTACCTAAAATATAAATAATGTTAATGGAAATCTGCTCTAATGGATTCAAGTTGTTTGTTCTTGGTTAGTAAGGCTAAAGGTAACTTTCAAATAATTTAACTTTCTATACCAGGTGATTGTGAATGGTAAGTTGGAGAAAATTGTGGCGTGGCTTTGTCACAGCTTAGACAGTTTCTTCAATTATAGGCCAAACGATTGACAACAGGAAGGTCCAGTTTTGAGGGTTCAGTAAAAACTGTCATTTAAAAAACAATTATTTTTTTTTATAGAAAATAAATCTGACATGTTCAAGCAAATATTTTAGAGACAACCCAATTTGCTTAGTCGGCAGGTTTGCTGCAGGGGTATTTCTATTGGTTTTGGCTCAAAAAGTTATTTTCTCACTTTGAACCCAGTCGCTGTGATTTCCTCTACCATCTTTTAATCTCAGGATAGATTTTACTGATGATTATTTTATTGTATAAGAGAGTTCAGAGACAGATCTGAGCCATCTATATCAGTTTACAATACAAGACTGTGCAAACAGTGAACAATATAAATCATGTTTGGCGATTTGTTGCTGTGGAAGAGACATACCATGTTAGAAATGTTATACCATGATTATTATTGATGGACTAAATATATCAACAAACAGATAAGACATAATTTGGTTGAATTGGTTAAAGGAAGTTGGTTAGGAACAGCTTGGTCTGAATAACAAGCATGTCAAAGTGCAAAAGTATTCTTGTTTCTCAGTTGAACCTGCTAAAGTTATCAAATATGATCAACAAAATTAGATTCAAAGAAGTTAAGAAGGACATAAGCAAATTACTAAAAGTATGTTAAAATTGCATTTTATGACTTAATTACAACCCGAGATGGTAATTAAAGTTCCTGTATGTGGATTTTAACCCCAAAGGGGTTAAGCCAACATAGGATCAAGCCGATTCATTGGTTAGTTAAGAACAACAATGTCAACCAACAGACATAATACCACAGTTGGGGTTGGCAGAGTTAAATTCTCACAACCAAACTTAACTCCCGACCAGTAGTAGCCTACTACAGTAGACCCCCACTTAACCTACCCTAACTGGACCGGACCTAAGCCGGTTAAAATGGATCCCCAAACAATTTTTAAAAATGTACTGCTATTCTTTTGAAATGATATAGGCCTAATCATTTTTCTGTAGTCGTGCTTGCACTATTTACAAAATAAACTACACTTATCTCCTTTTTTTAAGGTAATGACGATAGAAAAGTCACAAATAAACCAAAAACACAGTAAAGTCAACTACTTTCAGTGGAAGATATTATAATCGTAGGAAAAGCAGCAAGAGTAAATAAAAATTCTTATTTCAATACCTTTAGTAATATTAATTGATGCTTTCCAAATCTATCGTAATATAGTATAGAACTTATTATTAACATTTAAGATAAAAGCAACCATTTTGTTACGAGACAGGATCTTTTAATACGGTAATCGTGCAATATCTAAGACGCGTCTGAAGAGATCATCACAGAGCGGGGATCAACAGGCGATGATCACTGGGCGTTGATCGCTTTAGAGCCCATTGTCCAAGAATGTGTCTATTAAGTTCAATAGTTGGTTGCTGACCATGCTATTGTAGTGTGTATAGTGCTCTCATAATGAGTCTTCAGAACAAACTGACGAAGTTTCTGTTGATTGAAGAAATAGAAGATGAGGAAATGTATGACAATACAAGTAAACCTCGATTCTGTAATCACAGTTTATTCACAAGGAGATCCAAGGGAGGACATTTTAAAATAGTGATTAAAAACCATCTGAACGCAAACGAGAGTGTATTTTGTTTTTTTAGATTTTCGTAGAACCATTTCAAGTTTATTTGCGGCTTGGTAGAGGAGGATCTATAAAAACTTGATACAATCGCACTCCATACCCAATAACAAGACTACATTCTTAAAAAATATCACACGGAAGCTTGAGAGTGCAGGGTAACACCAACACAACAATGCAGTATACACAATAGACGCTGGCCATCAGCCATCAGCCGTCTGCTCCGGGAGCAGTGCCCCACGTCAGGCGCTTCTTGGTTTATCCTAAGTTCCGGTTCGATCCTGAGGAAAGTCAGTAGCTTTTTGATGGTTCGAAACTGGACCCAGCTGTTCCTGATCATTGGGCTTAAAATAAATGATCCTGGCTAATGAAACAGCTGATCTTAGTCAGTAACAAAGCTACACAGATCATCTCACAACATTCTACACTCATTCTTCACTCATATTTGGGTTAAAATACGCACCTAGGTGGCGTCCCCATCTCAATGATTGATAATTGGTCAACGGCCCCATTGAAATCAATGCTTAGCATTCACTGAGCGTTCATCGCCCGCGTCTATTTCTCAGCAACGGACACAACAGATGCTTCTTGGACAACGGGCATTTGTTCAGTAACATCCTGCATAGTTTAGTGTACGGTATTGTGCCCATCGCAGAGCGTTGGAGCGGAAATGTTTTGATTCCTAGAAAGCAGCAGTTAAACCGAGCATAGTCAAAACATAGTTGAAGTTAGTCTTTGGTTCTCACAGCAAAGTCAGTTAAAACAAACTGTAATATTTTATAAGCGAGAGCGGATAATCCGATCATCGGTTAATGCAAGTCGGTTAAGATCTACTGTATTGAGAAACAGTTTTTGAAAGGTGCCTATAAAGTTATATTCCATAACAAGTTCTGACCTTACCACTTATAGCAGGCTACAGGCTACAAATAGGCCCAACTGAACTTGTGTTATTGAAGGCCTACCATTGGTGGATTCAAGATTTAAGGAGGTCACAACCACAATTTTAAGAAAACGAAACCCAAGAGTGAATATCTCAATTCTTAGTAATTTACTTAGTCATAAACTACGCTACGCCACTCTTGTCACAAATATTTGAAAATGCCCATGTACTGACTAGGAAAAGACTAAAATATCATAACTTTTAGAGTTGCTGACATTAAAGCAACTAAGGTTACCTAACAGTGATGCTTTTTTACACAGGCCTACTTTATTAACCATTGACTTTGAACAATGAAGTAGATATCCCATCCATCTATCTAGTTTTTTTTTTTTTTTTTTTTTTTTTTTTTACTCAAAGAGAACGTACTTGAATGGCCTGTCATACAGTGTGCCACTATTGAAGTTATATTTTGGTTTGTTTCAGTTTATCTTACCACGATAGTTGAAATGGACATAAAAGATTATCTAGTTTGCACTTTTAGTTAAAAGTTTCTGTTTAGTAAATTAATCAATATTTTTAAAGCACACACTGTTGAAGGCGCAACTCAACTAAGTTCTTCTTGTGCTAACTAGTAGGCTAAATATAACATGGGAATGGAATGTCTACTTCACCGTTCTGTATCCACAGAGAAGGCTTTTACAAACTCACCTTCATTAGGTCATACATGAGAGCTTTATTGCTTTGCAGTATTCCTGTTGACCACTGTATCTAGCTATAGAACTTTATGAATTATAGACATATTTAACCACCAAAGAGCTTATTATAAGTTTACCGCTGAAATTATGGGGCTGAAGTAGATCGGTTGGATACACAACTACCTTTCATGTGCGTAGTGAGCGTAGACTGGCAGACAAAAGTCTTCTGGCAAATGTTGCATCTGTATGGCCTTTGTCCTGTGTGTAGTCTCCGGTGAATCACAAGAGCTGAATGTTGGTTGAACCGTTTCTCGCACAAGTCGCAGACATATGGACGTTCTCCGGTGTGAATGCGCTCATGACTGATCAAGTTACACCTCTTTGCAAAAGCTTTTCCGCAAACGCTGCACATGTTGGGCTTTTCCCCTGTGTGGATGCGACGGTGTAACTTGAGATGATCACGACTAGACAGTTCTTTGCCACATATATCACAAAGACATTTATTTTCTCCTGTGTGGGATTTCATGTGATGCTGCAAGGATTTTTTGTGGGAAAACAGCTGTTCACAAAAAGGACACTGATTGATAGGTTTCATTCCATTCAGTGTGGAATGCATGTCTTTCTTGTGTGCGGTGAGGTATCTAGAGTACATAAAACATTTCCCACAAAGGTCGCATTTGAACGGTTTTTCTCCCGTGTGAAAATTAATATGTTCTAAAAACCACGTTCGCACAAAGAACCCCTTTCCACAAAGATCACAATTGTATTTGTAATTTTCTGCATGCCTGTTTCGATGATTAGTGATAGCCGAATGGTAAAATGTAGTAAAATCGCAGATTTCACAAGTCAGTTTCAATTTACTACTGTGCAGCTTTTTGTGAACGTTAATATCATTTAGACGTTTATAACGCTTATTACATATATCACAGGCGTAAGGTTTGCTGGGGTTGTGCACTTGAAAGTGGCGTTTTAGAGTCTTCTTGGAGATGAATGTTTTGCCACAGAGGTTGCACTCTAAGTCATTGCCATCATCAGAGGACGGAGGTGATGTTAAGTTTACTTGTTCGTCAGACTCGCTTATATCTACTACAGGCTCTAATCTATCACCGTCTGTTAACATTTTGATTCATTTGAACTGGTTTTCTTCATTGTGTGATTTTACTTTTCCCAAACACTTTGTTTTCTTTTGATTGATTTTTTTTCTGTCTCACTTTAAACCTGAAATATAAACACAAATGTATGAATACCATTTTTAATTCAGGCAAATACTTCTAACCTACAATTGGGTGGAATCTTATTCTGGATTCCACCATAACTAACACCAACAATATCTAAACTGTAGCCACTTTGTGCGTATCCTTAGTTAACACCACTACAGCATAGCAGTATTTAAATTGGCGACCCTAACTACAATACTTGTATTTTATCCAAATATGAATATCAGTACCGGTAGTCTATAATATGCACTGTTTAGCTTCTCTTACTGACACACCATTCTCATAATGGTAATTCTCATATGGCTCTTAAGTCCATTCGAGCCAGTTTCCATTAGGAAGCTGAAATTTTTTTCTCAGAATCAAAGCGGCAATCTTGGATAAACTATGGCTTGTTAAAAATCAAGCAATTAAAGGGATTGAGGTAGGTACTTTCCCAAAACGGCACACGGAAGATTTCTCAGGTGCCGTTTGACGTCAGATGTCACCATAACTGCTGACGTCACTTTGAGGGAACACCACAACGATACGGAGTGGAGCCATCGGCCTCGGTGGTGTAATGGATAATCCGAATGTACCGGGTTCGAATCCCGCTGGTAGCACTAAATTTTTGTCAAACAATTTTTTTCATATCAGCAAGTTTTGTTGGTTTGGTTAGGCTATGACAGTTTAATTTTATAATTAAAAAAATATAAAATTGAATTTTAGGCATTTATAATTTTATTTTATGAACAAAACTATTTTTTAGATTAGTAAACCTTCATTCATTTTTTTTTCATTATCAGCACGTTTGGTTAGTTTGGTTAGGTTATGACAGTTTGATTTAATAATAGAAAAATTATAAAATTGTCTGTTTCTTCAGACGCAGCAGTTAGTGACGTCAAACGGCACCTGAGAAATCTTCCGTGTGCCCCACCGGGTACTTTCCTTTTAAAGGGAACATTCATTATTATCAATTATTTTTTTGATATATTGATATGATTGTTTTCCTTTTCAATCCATATTCCAATTGTTTTAATATCTTCAAACGTTTTTAAATTACAAATTGACATCTTCAGTAAAAATAATATTATGGGCTATACCGGCTATATGGATTAAGAAATGAAACTGTTCTAAAATAAGTTAACCTAACATAACTAACCAAACTTGCTGTAGGTCTACCATTTCAAAATCCTGTTTGATAACAGAAAAGACAGGTGGGTAATATCAAACAAAATTATAAAATGTTATACTAAGTTTGGTTAGTTAGGTTAGGTTGGTTAGTTTATAACAGTTATTACAATAATATTTTTTTAATTGATTGTTGATACTGAACAATATTTATTGATCGTAGTTATCAGCTGATATGTTTCAATTCCTTAAATATCAATATAGCCTATCGGATTAAAAAATGAAATTTTATTTTATTTATTTTATTTTACATTCCAACGGACAGCTCCATTTTGATATTTGGTACAATTTAGTGCAATAACATAGTGAGATATCAGAAAAAAATCATCAATAATAATAATGAATGTTCCCTTTAACAGGAAAGTACTGTACCGGGTTTGGTTTTGAGAGAATTATTTTAAGTCAACCCTTTAGGGGCTGATTAATTTTAATTAATTTTATGCTAACCATGAGTTAGTTAAATTTAATGATTTAACATACTTATAAAATCAAAATAGATTTCTTGAACAACTTTGTTTGAATCAAACAAGATTTCAAGTTTTTAAACAAGATTTTAAAACAAGATTGAGATTTTGTTCAGGCATTCTCTGACAGAATGCCAAAGAATACCAACTCTACAATGTGTTTGTTTTAAGAACAGCAGTAGCCTATTGTTTTTAATTATCTTAACAGTACTACAGTAGGGCGCCTATTATCTAAATGCCAGTAATTCTAAAAGCTGGTTTACAGAAATCGCTGCCAAAGATGATAAATTTAAATTTACCGCCACGCCAACATTACGTGAGCGGCCGCACAGAAAACGTACTACTATAGCATAGCAACGCTGGTGGCGCTGCCTACAGATTGACAGGCAAAGCTCTCTCAAAACACTTAATGCTTTTTACCATGCGGTTGGCATTCTGGGTTATAGTAGTACGTTTTCTGTGGCGGCCGGCAGGGGCGAACGCGGCTCAACGCTTTGAGCAAAACTTAGCGACACAGTAATTGTGTCACATACATATCTTCACTTTGTGTCAGTGACATCAATGATTGTCAGTGCTTGATTTGCGGGGGAATGCGGCAGTACCTCTATTTCGGAAAGATAAAAATATTGGCATAAATTAGGTAGGCCTACTAATCACATTGAATATGTCACAGTTTCAGCAACTAATTTTTTTACAAATCGAGCACTGATCTCGTTGTTTCAAATAGGCGATCTAGACCGTGGGGTCTAGACTTTTCCTCAGCCCGGTCACAACCGATTGCCAATGTCCCTTCGTGTTTTTTGTGTTAATGTTTGTCCGTTCAGTGTTATCGTGTTTTGTATATGTTTTATTTATTGAACTCTGTTTGTTAACAACCTTCGAATGAAGTGATTACCTGACACCTTGAGGCCTGATGATGGTTCAAAACAAGAACCGAAACTAGTTGCCTAAATCAGCAACAAAGGATTACTTTATGCAGGTATTGTAAACCATTTTAACAATATGCAAAACCTAGGATGGATTATTTACAAAAGATAGTGATATTTTAAGAATCTTTCACATTAGCTAAACAATTCTTTTTAAGCTCTTGGAGATAATTGTAATGACAGAAACCCATTTAATAGGAAGTTAGGCCTGGTAGTTAAGAATTTTACTAGGGCCTAAATTAGAGCCTAAATCTAATTGATAATAATACTACAAGAATCAAGATTTGAAATGGGTTTAAAAGCACGTTAGGCTATATGTTAACCAAGTTGTTTAGCAGAGTACCTTTTGTGTACCTATTCTGTATTTATGTTACCACAAACCCATCCTACAATCCGTAATCGAGCACTATTGTGACCATCTCCAACAATCACAGTGATTGTAGGTGTTAGCCTCCGGATTGCCAAATAATATTTAAAAAGGTTAAAATTCCTGCTATTAGGCAATTCAATATTGTTGTAAACACAACTAGTTTCGACACCTGTGTGGCACCAACATCAGGCTGTACAAGGATGGTTTTCTATCTTCAAACGAAGGGCGTCATAATTGATTAACACAAAAACAATAAATTTATGGTAACTGATCAGTTACGATAATAGACGACGCTAGCCTGACAGAGTTTGAATCCAGACTGAGGGTGGTCAGTGCAGTGGTGTACGTTCGTTATCTTATACCAGGTTGCGTCCTGTCAATCACACTTCCCCTCTCCAGTAGGTAAACTGATGGCAGTGTCATACATAAAATTAGACGAGAACAAAAGTTGATCATTGAGCACATTTTGGTGGTCGGGTTTTACTGCCCCAAAATCTTTCTAAATGTCTCGTTTTCGTGTTTGTGTTGTATTTAAAGGTCTATTTATTATTTTCAAGTTTTAAAAAATCAATCTGACGCCCTTCGTATAAAGAAAGAAAACCATCCTTGTACAGCCTGATGATGGTGCCACACAGGTGCCGAAACTAGTTGTGTTTAAAACAAAATTGGATTGCCTAATAAGAGGTATTTGAACCTTTATTAAGATCACAGTGACGTCATGATAATCTCCCGCATTTGTGGTAACATCATGATGTAATCTCCTCGTCATAAAGATTCGTCCAAAAACGGATGATGAGCTAAGAGACTAAGTAGACCATTTGCCAATTGCGGCAATGTTGTAAATTTTTAATTAGGAAATTTTTCAGACATTTTAAGCGATCGCCAAACTAAAGCGTTAGGCCTAATCGCTTCAAACCCCCCTCCAACCAAACATTGGGTAGGCTACCATAACTTTATAGTATATGGTCAATAACTTACCTAATTTACTTCCCTGTTCCTTACTAAGTTTACTCATTTGTGACTAAGTTTACACTACCTTATTCTTTCTGGAGCCCACTCAACCCATCTATGTAGAAATTACGGGGCTGCACTTTACGTCCTACACTTATTTTGAATGAACTCAACAGAATTAAAATATTGATTATTTGATTGTTTCATTTGATATATCGGTTGATTAAGTTAGTTAGGTTAGGTTATACTTACCTAACTAACCAAACGATATATCGCTATCAACAATATATAACGATATATTGATATAGGCCCTATTGATCGATATTTTCATTCGAATGAGTGTAGGACGTAAAGTGCAGCCAATTACGAGTCCAGATTTTAAAATATTTTTTATTTTTTATCTCAACCCGTGACTCACTAAAAGTGCTCTCGGTGGGTCGTGGACCCAGAGTTTGGGAACCGCTGCAGTAGGCTATAGCAATGTCAGCTGTTTATAGTTAGGCTACTTAGTGTAGGTCTATCTGACAAACCTAACTTATTACCACACTCTCAACCACCTGACATTGATCCATTTATGGGGATCTTGGAAATGTGTACGACTTGACTGGGAGTAAGCTTTAAAGTTAACACGAGAGTTACCGGTAGGCCTACCGGTACTGTGTTACATCACCCCATAGTGAGGGACTGCTGAAATATAACACTGACATAGACAACCCCCTGAGTAGGGCCTATGTAACTTAGGCATTGAATTGGGGCCTAGGTAAAGTTTCCAGTTTCTATCTCCACAAAGATGATTGAATAAAAATTGTTTAGGCCTAAACTAAAAATTTGTTTGACTGTAGAATGATGTTAGAAAATTCTTATTTACTATGCAGATTAGAAAATTTCTAATGTGATCTCTTAATATTTAAGTTCTAGACCTACGAAGGCAAAGCATAGTAGCTTTATCGATGATAGGACATGAAGACTCAGGACCTAGGCCTAGTCTATAATTTGTTTCTCAACAAGCTATTGAATGTTAACTCACCTCAACTATGTAAAAAGATTAATTGAAAACAACACGCAATGAATAAATAGTGGACTAGTAGAGATATGGGGTACAGTTTTTATGTAGTATTTCTTGTGTTTCATTTTTGGACATTTCTAATTCGTGTAGCCTATGTATGTACACATACCGATAACATAACCTCAATTATCAGAATTCAGAATTAGAATTGGAATTTGGAACTGGAAGAGAAGAAGAACTACTGCCAGTATTCCATTCCATTCCCATGGGTTTGGCAGATGGATTGCGGCGGGGCATTCCACCGCCCGGTAGCAGTTTTTATTTCAGGATTAGTTTTGCCAACAGTGTCATTTGGAGGCTTCTGATTCACTATAGGTTTACTGATCGAAAAAATAGTTCTGTTCATAAAATAAAATCATAAATGCCTCAAATTCAATGTTATAATGTTTTAATTATAAAATTAAACTGTCATAACCTAACCAAACTTGCTGATAATGAAAAAGTCGAATGAAGGTTTAATCGAAAAAAATAGTTCTTTTCATAAAATAAAATATAAATGGCTAAATATTTAATTTTATAATGTTTTATTTATAAAATTAAACTCTCATAACCTAACCAAACCTGCTGATAATGAAAACATTTTAGACAAAACGTTTGTGCTACCAGCGGGATTTGAACCCGGCACCTTCATATTATCAGCCCGGGATGCTCTCCACTGGACCACGGAAGCCAATGTCGTCCCATCGTATCGTTTTGGTATGGTGTTCCCACAGCCAATCAGAAGCCTCCAAATGACATTGTTGGCAAAACTAATCCTGAAATAAAAATACAGCCTCCCGCACCCGGATGGCCCCATGGTGGAAGGAAAAGTCCCCGGGTTATAGAGTTAGAGAATACACGTGCAATTCCGTTAGTCTGTGTTGTCATAGATAAAATATGAGTATGTTTTATCTATGGTTGTGTCGTGTGTTGTTGTGCTGGTTTTACCAGCGAGACTGACAAACGCGTTCACGGACGTTTTTACTCTAGTGTGGCCTGCCCCATATACCGTAATGTATCTCTCAAACCCAAGGGTAACGCCCGTGGAAAAATTCAGCGAGATAAGATGAGTGTGGCCCCGGCCTTACCGATTATCGAACCTTATTCCATTGATTATACATCTTCCAAGAATTATACATCTTGGAAGATGAATTAATGCTTACCTGGTTAAGGTCAGGTCGTTAACCGGAGCGTGCGCATCACCTGTCTGCCACCGCTTGTATCTGGGTCAGTGTACTGCCTAGCTGAGTGGTGACTCATCTGGTATATTTCGATTCATAATGAAACGAGGAAATTCTTACAAACATATTTATGGATAGGATAACCCAACCTAACATAAAGTGAATTAAAGTACTGTATGTTCTTTCCAATTATATAAGTAGTTATTTTTGGTCTCCGGCTCCAGTAAAAAAATCCCTCTAAAATAAGTTTCTTATTTCCAGTACAAGTCTTATAGCTGTCCGGCTTTCTTTATAGTAGGGAATGCTAACTTCTAAATTCAATAAACCAGGGCATAGGTTTTTAATGTGAAACCACAACCGTTTTATAAACTGGCGTTTTCTATTTGGTTTTTAGATTCCAAAATATTGTAGATTAAGTCACAAACTTTGGAAAGTAATAGACTTAATAACAAATGATACATTAAATTTTTACTTTTGTGGTTAAGACTATCTTTACTAATCAATGCGTAAACTACTATTCTCTAATTCATTACCTTACAGGATAAGAGATTCAAAGTCTAAAAACGATTCTTAACTTACTGCAATGTGAGTTTAAGTTCATGAAGCCAAAGCGTGGCAAAGCAGTAGGTATGTGCAGTCTTACGATGAAAGAAAAACTTTATAATTTGGTCAGAAATACACATTTAGGAATAAAAAACGCTATAAATTAAAAAAGTAATATATATTGATAAATGACAAAACACTAACAATGTGCAGTGGGAATAAAGCTAATCTTCCCGTGACTTACACTAATACAAATTGTAACAAAAAATTCTTTGGATATCAACATATATACACCACAAGAATTAATAAAGTTAAAATATACAAAAATTAGTACTTACATAAAGTTGGTTCACAATGGCTAGTGCATTCATTTCATTTACATTAATTTCATTAGTGCATGAAATCAGCAAGACATTTACATTACTACAGTTTCCTCTTAGATCAAACACAAATTAGGCTACTGATAATATAATCTCTCTTTAGATATTATATTATACAATAAAAAAATAATAATAATACATATAAGTGTGAAAGTATGGATGTTTGTGTGTAACTCTAAGTTCAATCTCGTGGACACAACCTTTATCATGGGCAAGCGGTGGGAGTAACTGTGATATTTTATAGGGAAAATCGCAAAAGTTGAAGACACACACGGACAGACATCACTTCGAAAACCACTTTTTTGGGTTCAGGGGGTCACATATTTATTGGAGAAAGTAAAAACCTACATTAGCCTGGTTAAAGTTTTTGCGAATTTCCCTGTAGGGAAGTAGCTATTACTGTAGGTCTCATGGTAAGACCTAGGTCCGGGACCGATTTACTTTTTCATTATGATGTCCCCAGAGGCCAAAAACACTATTTTTTCAAATTTTTATATATGTGTTCGTGAACGTGAAAACTTAAGTAATTTTTGTCTGATTTCGATGAAATTTGGCTTGGAGGTGTTATGCGGGATAAACTTGAATGAGTTCCCGAACCAGCAAGATCGGGCTATGGGAACGGGGTTTTATGGGGTAAAAATTGGTTTATCTAATTTTTTACCCTCAAAAAACAAAAAAATCCCAGTTTCTCTCTAGACCGTTTTAAAGAGCTTAAAAAACCATTAATTTAGCATATTGAAGTTTTTTGTATGATTATTAGTTACAGAGAAAATTCAAAAAAATTTTAAAATTCCTATAATGATGGTTTATTGAAATATTTTGATCAAATTTGGCAAATTTTATTATTTTATGCTAGGCTATTTTTTTTTATAATTCATGTACCTACTTTATTTATTAATAATTTAATTAAAGATACACTTTGTAGCAGCAAAACCTAGGTACTCGTTAGACTAAACTGAAAATCAAATCAGGCAAATGGAAATTCCTTTAGTCTGCAGGTTTGCTGTGGAAGGGGGATTTAAAGATCATAGGTTTTTTTAATTGCATAGTTTTAAATCTTTCACAGGCCTAATTAAATTTAGGATTGAAAAATGTAAACAATAATCGTTTGGTTATTAAAAATAAAAAATAAATACAAAATTTACAAATAGAATGTTTTGTGTGAAAACATACGATACATTTTTTAATGAAAACAAATTATTACTAAATAACGATGAATAATAGGGTTTTCATTTCTACACTTTTGAGAAGTTGTGGCATTTGTGGTGCCTGCTTCTATACTTTTGACTGCTGTAAACCTATGAGGGGAACACCTTTATTAAGTCAGGTTGAAGACGTATTCGAGGAATCGCTTTCATAATTAATGTACTTGAATACCGGCTCATAAGAAATATTTGACTTCTTTCCTCTTCTTACCATCAACTCAACAAACTTAGAGTCTAACTTCTCAATCACTACACTACACGGTTTCAAAACAGAAGCTGTGTTCAGTTGAGCTAAGAGAGTAGACGGATGTTTCCTACCAGATACTCTCAATGGCGGAGACAGCCCACTAGGCCTTCGTATACGCTTGGGGTATTGATTGTTGGTAGGTTTATAAAATGTATCTTCATTGTCACTGTCAAACATTTTTTTCCTTCTTTTCTTTGACTTCTTTACTAAGGATCCTTCTTCATTGTATGCCAATGGAGAATTTGTGATGTGCAAGGAGCGTTTCTTATGTTTGTTCTTTTTCCGTTTACTACTCAACCAAATGTTCTTCTTCCTCCATGCCATTTTCTGCGCCAAATATTGACGTCTTCTGATTTCCTCCAAATACACCTCATTATGAAGCGGTTTCGATTGTTTTGTATCTGTTAAATCCGAAGAGTCAGGAATCATTCTTAAGTCTTCTTCCGTTATTTCTGGAGATCCTAAAATAACCTTTCCTAGAGGGTTGAAAACCAGTAAATCACGCTTCCTTTTTGAATGACTGGGCAACATATCCGATGATTCAACATTAGTATTATTTGTTACTTTATTTCCGGTTCGGGGATGGTTTTGAGGTTCCTCAAAATCTTCAATACTACCATCGACATTCTGTTCAACTATGGGCTGTGTTACTACAACATTTGGCTTATGTTTTAGCTTTCGTTTTCTTCCTCTCTTCTTTTTTTGCACCACAGGATTAGCAACTTCTTCAGGTTTCCTCACTGACTGCAGTATTGAAGCAATGGCATTGCCTGAGGTCAAATGCCCAAATTTCTGTCTAACATTCTTATCAATCTGATCTAGTTCTGCATAGCAAGTCTTTAGGATATCGTGGAATTGAGTAATTAATTCAGCAGCCTGATCAGGTTTGTAAAGGAGATTACTGGAGATTATCTTTGCCAACTCTTTAAACTTTTTCTGGGTACCTATTAAGGATCTTGATGTCTCTATGATTCCTTGTTTTAAATCAGTAATATCAATATCTACTTTATCAGAGGGTTTATCAGTTTCAGGTGAGAGTTTGGTAATAGCAGAGCCAGATTCTTCATTTTCAAAACCTCTAAACATCTCAGGGTCTTGCAATTCTTTTAAAGTTTTTATCTTTATCTTTGGTATAGCAAGTGGATCCTCATCTTCACACAAATCAATCGTTGCATCAACAGGAGCGTTATCAAATCTGTTTTGTTGACTAGTATTTTTATTGGCATTGGATGAATTTTGATTATTTTGGATATTAATGAGGCGCTCAGTCGCTGTTTCGATAATTGATTTCAATATTGGTTCTTCAATATTCTGTTCACATTCGTTACTTATTGTTGAAGGTACAGTCACTGGAGTATTTACATTACCATTAACTGACAATGGATCAGTTTCAGAGGATAGCTGCAGATTTCTTTTCATCGATTCAATACTCTCACTCATGAGAACAGTTCTTAAAAGTGATTGTTTTTTAGATTTTGGCATAGGCTTTTGTTCGATTCTCTCTCTGGCAGACATCAAGGGACTCGCAACAACATTTTCTTCTTGAATATCAATATCAGGAATCAACATCGGAGCTTCTTCTCCCAAAATGTCACTTGAAGTCATTATTATGGGCCTAAAGTTGTCCACTGCTTTAAGAAGAATAGATTCACCAGGATTCACTGGAAAAGTATTTGATTGAGTTGTTGGTGATGATTCTTGATGCGGTGTAGGTATTGTAGTGACAGTAGAATACGGGGAAGGATGGCAATTGGGTAGAGGATTGGGGTTGTTGATCTGATACTGGGGTGATAAAACAGGTTGTTCAGAGGGTAGGGGGTAAGTGATTGTATTTGGGAGAGCCGGCCTATCTGTAAAAACATTGTGAATATATTGAGTTCCAGTGTTGAGAGTTACTGAGGGTAAATTGTTTGGTGCCTGTACATAGATGTAGTTGGACGACTGATCTCCAATCAGGAACAAAGATGGCTGACTGGCTATGGCCATAGCGGAGGAGTTGGGTATCATTGGAGGTATCAAGTTATTTGATGTAGAAGCTTCAGCTACAACAGTAGATAGCAATGGTGGATTTGATATAGGATTTGGTCCTATTGTCCTACCCTTGCAACAAGATGTCAGGTCTTCCGTGAAAATGTCAGCTTGGCCTTGAACTGAGGGTTGGCATTTTGACAACTCGTACTTTTTCCTGAAACCAACATGTATTCCTATGAAACCAACACTATGAAGTACAAGCATACTCTTTTACATTGAGTATTCAAATCCTAACTTTAGTCAAAGTAAAAATCAATTACACTACCAAAACCTGCAAGTGCGAACTTTAAGTCCAAAATATTTTATCAATACTATAAAATATTATTAGAGGTTTATTAGAGGAAGCTCATATGAAATCCATTTGGAGGTTACTTTTCTTCCCCCTACATCCTCTCAATTCTTATTATTGACAGGCCGAATTAATCAAAGCACACCCACATACTGACGGGAAAAAAACCGATAGTATCGGTCCGATACTAAGGGGAGTGGCTGCTAAAATTAATTATTTAAAAAAAATCCTTTAATAAATTATCATACATACTTTTTTTAGGTTCATTTAGTTTTAAACAAAGGTTTACTGCTGTTAAAATGAAAAAATGGGAATTTTAAATCCTTTATAAGTTTTTAACTACTGAACCAATTTTATTGTTTGATGTATCATTTTAAAGAGCAAAGAAAGTACTATAAATTTTTATTTATACTCATGTTTTTTCTCAATTAGTTTATGAGTTATGACTTAATAAATAACTTTTAAAATCCTACAGTATGTAATTCATTTTTAATTTTTTGTGTGTACTTGTATCAAACCTATTAGAATACCCATGCACAAAAATTTGTTTTTTAGTCCAAACAATGTGTAGTAAAAATTCCCCCCTTAAAACCAAGAACTAAACCTTATTCCTTGAGATATTACCTTCAACAATCCAAGACAGTCAAGGCACAAAAACCTTGTGATAGTATTTTCTAAATTGAAAAAGCTAGTTTGGCTTGTAGAAAAATTATTGCAATGAGTCAACTACCCAGAAAACTGGTAAAACCTGATGTGTAGAATGACCCAAAGACAAAGAAGTTATTTTTTAACCATTGAGCTATTTTTTTACTGCCCCGTCTCCCCACATCCTAGATCCTGGAACCATTTTGCATATTACTTCAAGCTAGGCCTAGAAGGTTCCATGACTAGAGGGTTGAGGAATTATCACTAAGATAAAATCCATTAATGATAGGTGGGGTTTTAACGCCCAACTTTGGGGTTTAGGTATAAGTCACATAGGTAATCTAGTGGTGGAGATAAGACGGTGCAAGCGACAAGCATTGAACTAACAACGTCTGGCTTATCAGCTCTAGAGGCTACAAGCAGGTAACAAGCTTGTTTGCTAACTCTACCCAAACTGAATATTTACAGTGTATTGTAAGATACCCGGTGACTCTGCCATTCCGTAATTAGTGCTGGGAGTTTCCCATTTACTTATCTCTAGTTGTTATAAAATAAAATACATTTAACATTTCAATGTTAATTTAGTAAAGAAACTATCTACTCCTTAGTTTGGTGTGTACATACCTCTTCATATAACGGTAATGGCGGAAGAGGAAGTAGGCGATGGCTCGGTGAGGCCACAGCTGTTTTATGTCACATACAAAACATACCCAAAGAGTTGTATTTTCCAATAATTTTGAAGCAAACACAGGCCCAAAGTTCCGCTGCATACATCTCTAGAAACCACCATCAATTATCAATTCAATTATCAATTATCAATCATTGAGATGGGGACGCCACCTAGGTGCGTATTAATTACTGAACAAAAACAATTTCAATCTCATTTACAGTTTTTGCAGAAAAATTATTGTTTGAACAATATTTCACATAAAAAAAAACCTGGTTTGTTTAAGATAGGTAAATAATAGCTTTGATCGGAAATGTTATGTTTAAAACAGGCAAAATTATATGTTCCGACAGATTTGGGTGACAATTTTTAAAATCTTAGCTGTACTGAAATTAGCTTTTTTGTACAAAGAGTAATGAAAATACATTTTATAAAGCTGTTTGGACGTACAGCTGCTAGGATTGTGTTTTTGTTTAGGCCTACAATTTGTTTCTTAATATTTCAGTTAATTAAAACCTCGTTTAACCAAGTAAAACGATCTTATCATAAACAATAACTCGTCCCCTAGTTATAAAACCAAACGGTAAGGCACAAATTATGAAATTAACACTAAAATAATGGAAACAAAATTTTGTTTGCACTGGCGACCAGTGTCCCCAACATGAACTAGACACAAAATACGAGCTTCAAATTTTACAATGGGATGAGAAGTCTACTTGTGTTTGTTAGTCTGGTCTAATTCTTCGTCATACCTTTCTGCTATCCCTCATTTCTCAAGAAGTAGATCAAAAGGAAACCTATAAAAGTATTAACTGCCATGTGTGATACCGACTTCAAAACAGAAAGGCTCATAAATTTTTACAAGGAATTAAGAATTTCAACTACAAGAAACACTCACCTCGCAAAACAATTTACGACACTTAGAACAAGTTTTCACACTGTTCATCATCGCCTTTGCACACCACAGACAAGTATCAGCAGGAGCTCTGTACGTTTTGTCGTAACAGGTGGTGCACACAAGCACACCCAGGACACTGTGGAAGCGCACCTTGCGACGGCACGCCACACTGGACGTACCCAGGTGCTCGTCACACACTGTGCAGTGCAGACGAAACTTCTCTATGCTCTTGTGTTCTGTAGGGAAGGGTAAAAATAAATAGCATGAATAAACATAACCTAGCCTATTTGCTTTACCACCTTAATCTGGTGATATAGTGATAGCATTGTATAAAAGTAAAAACTTGATCAATTACCATAAATAAACTCTGTCTCATAATTTTCCAGACTAGTAACGAAATACAAAATATACTAACACTATCTATATATATAATTCCGTAAGTCAAATTTTTGTAAAGAAATTGTGAGTGACTGGATGGCCGTAGAAGGATGGGAGGGGTCTTATTTTAAAGGTCTTGACGTGAATTTTGAGGGAAAACTATTCATTTTTCTTATTTTTTTACCATAAATTCACAACAGAATAAAACATTTCCCATTAAAACAACATGGGGTTTAATTTGTTTACATCTTTTGAAATTAAAACAGAAGTCATTTACTGCTGATTTCTGTTTACTTCAATACAGCTGATCGTGCTATATCTTGAAAACAGTGATCAATACACGCATTTGGTTTACTTTTAGCCAGTCAACTATGAAATTATACTATAATAAAACTGAAATCTTGAAGATTAATCGGAAAAACGTCTGCATTCTTTGTTTATATTTAAATCATATACTCAAGTTTCATTTTTTCATGCTTTTACGTTATTGTCGTGTTAAAGGAATAAACGACATAGAATAAATATTCTGTATAAATAATCAAAGAGTCGAAATTAAATCTAACTTCTATTTTGTTTTTATTTTTAAATCATATGTTCAAGTTTATTTTAAATGATGTTGTTTTCTTTGTATTTCTACACATTTTAAGGTTAAGGTTGTGTTAATATATACAACTAAAATAACCTACAAATGTTATTGGTTCTAAAATGGTGTATTTGCATTCCTTCGTAAGTAAATATTTTTTTAGTGCAGTGAATATACAACGTAGAGTAATCATATTCGATCATACTTTTATAAAATCACCAGGGATTCAAGATGTTTTGGTATGTAGGCTGCTGGATATATATTCTTTTCATTATAAGTACTGTAATTAATATGAACGCCAGTGGAAGACCACAAAGGCGGGGAGCTGTTCATAGGAATGACAGTGCGCGTAGAAGAGCAAGAGTAGACTAGTGTACATGTTGCTCGAAATCGAGCAATTGCAAAGAAGTACAGGAGTTATTTATAATCAAATTACTTGTTTAAAAACTAAGAATTGTCATAATTTCCAATGATTTTAAAAGAGCCAACTAAAAGATTATTAATCAATGGAAATACTCACAATTTACATAACAGTCCTATTCCAGTTTAAAGGGTAAATTTTTAACAATCAAACTGCCCATGGACGGGAATTGCTTACAATTTAAGTCAACGTAAAAAAGCTGTCAGCTTTTATAAAGTACCAATTAAGTAAAAATTTAACTAATAACTTATATCATTAAACAGAAACCAACATCCAAAACTATTCACATTTTTAATACAACGTAGATAATTTACACATGGACTGTTTACAATTAACGTATGTTTTTCTTCTCACTATTAATTTTTCCTTCGCAATGGGAAAAATCTGTTTCATAATCATTGAAATAGATTTATAATAAATAATCTATCACAAAGTTTAAGATTAAATAAACCTACCACATAGTTGTTTTAATTTTTTTTATCAGCTGTCTAAAATTGTGAAATAGGCATTTGACAGTTCTGGTTGTTTACATTTAAATGTCAAAGCAAATGTAAACATTGTGAATTTTCTCACGCTTCCATGGAGACCAATTATTAATATTTAATTTCTTACAACAGCTGGAGTTTCAAAACAATATTTGTTTCCCATGTTAATCTTATGGAGAAATACGAAACTTTAAAGGGCCCCAGAGCCTCACTCTTTAATTATTTCCCTAAAAAGAAAGTTTCCTGCACAACTTCACGTTACGCTCTTTCCAATGACACCAAAAACATGTCAATCGGTTCAGTAGTTTCGGAGGAGTAATTGTCACAAAAATCCTGCTTGCGTATTAAATAAGTATATATATATATAGATAATGACGAACTTAATCAAGATATGTTACAACCCCTTTTTAGGAGACCCATGGTCACAGAAAACGTACTACTATACCCAGAATGCCAACCGCATGGTAAAAAGCATTAAGCGGTTTGAGAGAGCTTTGCCTGTCAATCCGTAGGCAGCGCCACCAGCGTTGCCATGCAATAGCATAGCAACGCTGGTGGCGCTGCCTACGGATTGACAGGCAAAGCTCTCTCAAACCGCTTAATGCTTTTTACCATGCGGTTGGCATTCTGGGTTATAGTAGTACATTTTCTGTGCCCATGGTAGACGAGAGAAATGTAAATATCCATGATGCAGGATTACTGGACCAAGAGTGCATTCAATGTAGTGCTCTTCATTTTAGAGAAGAACTAACGAATAATCATTTTAGCGAATTTCCCATATAGGGAATAAGCTATTACCGTAGTACTCATGGTAAGACCTGGACCCGGGACCGATTTTTTCATTTTGAGGTCCCTAGAGGCCAAAAACACCATCCGTTCAAATTCATATATATATATATATATTTATATATTTATATATATACTAGCTGACCCGGCGACTTCGTATCGCCTAAGTTATAGGTTTCCCCTAAGACAGACCAATGGAAAGAAAGTACCGTTACGTTTAATTTTCAAGATGATCTCGTTCGCATCGCTCAATCACGTCCTGGTTGAAGTTCGTTCGCTACGCTCACTCACCTTTAGGTTGGAGCTCGTTCGCTGCGCTCACTTGCCTTCAGGTTAGCTCGTTCGCTACGCTAACTCGCCTCCAGGTTGAAGTTCGTTCGCTACGCTCACTCACCTTTGGGTTGGAGCTCGTTCGCTACGCTCACTCACCTTTAGGTTGGAGCTCGTTCGCTGCGCTCACTTGCCTTCAGGTTAGCTCGTTCGCTACGCTAACTCACCTCCAGGTTGAAGTTCGTTCGCTACGCTCACTCACCTTTTGGTTGCAAATTAGCTGTTGTCATAAATGTAAAAGAAATAATAGTGCTGCACCCTGTTGGTAATCCTTGTAACTTTAATGCTATTGAACATCATAGAACAGAACCAACTTGTTTAATTGAAACAGCTGTTAAGATTCATTAATTCCATTTCTCATAAGGTTAACATGGGTAACTCCAGAGCCACTGGGGCGGAGCCCTTTTAAGAATTTCGAAACGGGAAATAGTTTACGTCCGATTCGCATACCTACAGAATTTACACACCAAATTTCATAACGATCGGTGAAGTCGTTCCGGAGGAGTTTGCAGACAAACACTGTGACACGAGAATTTTATATATTAGATATATATGTGTCCGTCAGCACGATAACTCAAGCAAAAATGATCCAATTTTGATGAAATTTGGTACAAACGTGTAAACCTACATTTATTCGAACGAGTTCGCGAACCAGCATGATCGGACTATGGGAACGGGGGTTTATGGGGGGTTTTATGGGGTAAAAATAGGTTTTTCCCATTTTTGACCCTAAAAACACAAAATTTGACACTTTATTTCCAAACCATTTTGAAGAGCTTAAAAAAACAAATAATTTAGTATATTGAAGCGTTATTGTGCGCCTAATGGTTACGGAGAAAATTCCAAAAAATTGTCAATTTAAAATCCCTATGTTATTCTTATGGGGAATAAGTCAACTGTTGTAGTTTACTTGTTTATGAACATATTTTGATCGAATTTGGAAAATACATTCATTTCTTACTAAACTATTAACATAAAAAAAACACCTTTTTACCCTCCTTGTTGCAGCAAACCTAAGTGTTAAACTAATTCTATTTAAATAGGGAATAAATATGATATTTTTAAGGAGGCATTTTAATGTGAAATCCTATCAGGCTAATGGAAATTCGCTTAGTCTGCAGGTTTGCTGCGGCGGGGGTATTATGACATGTTGCCATAACGGACTTATTAACCTTCCTCAGCCAAAAACTAATGTAGAACTTAAAAATTTGTTTGAAGAGAGCCCACAACTGTATAAATTCATTCGACAATACAACAGTGCGATGGCTTTTGCTTATTTTTCAGCCAGTAAGAAAGATATTCCAGGAAAAGGACCATACTGTTTCAAAATTCAAGGACAGATTTATCGTTCAATCTCAGATTTGCTGCCTCAACATGATGAAGACCCCGTGTATGGCCAATTGTACATTATTGACACATCAACAGCAACAGAAATTCGTCAAAGGCGTCGAGAAAATAGTGACTTAAAACCTGAAATATTGTCAAAACTAGCTGAAATTCTATTAGAAAATCCATTTGCACAAATTTACAAAAGAGCTTCGGAAGAAATGGTTGTACAAGGTGACAGTGAATTAGAACTTAGGTTTGTAGACAGCATAAATATGGATCGTCGTAGGTATAATAAGCCTACTGCAGATGAAATTGCAGGCGTCTTCAATTCATCTGAAGGCGAACCTCCAATTAATTTTTAAAATTCCAAACAGGGAAGCTTTTATTTATCCTCATTAACCACAAGACAACAGCTACCTTAGTAAACCAGTATTTATTCACAAACAATGATATGTTTGCTGCTCATGATATGTTTGTGGTTCATGTTAAACCACTGGAGTGATTATTTATTGAAAATGACAACAACAAAAGCAAACAAAGAAGAACAACAAACTGGTTTTTACACAAAAGATATGGTGTAGGGATGCCTATTCTGACACATAGATAATGTTATTCTGAGTTTGTTTAAATACCGGAATTGCAATATGTTGTTTTACATTTCAGCTTTTTAGGGACTTATGTCCCTACAAGCCACTAGTATATCTATATTTATAAAAGAGGAAGTTTGTATATATATATATTTGAACGTTATGGACTCCAAAACTTCTCGACAGATTGTAATGAAACTTTCAGGCATTATTAAGCATTATTCAAGGATGGTTTTTGTGAAGTTTGGTTCAGATCCGTCAAAAGGGCTCCTCCCCAGTGGCTCTGGAGTTTCCCATGTTAACCTTATGAGTACTCATATTTAAATGGAATTAAAGAATCTTAACAGCTGTTTCAACTAAACAATTTGATTCTGTGATGGTCAATATCATTAAAAGGTTTCAAAATGTATCAACAGGGTGCAGCACTATTAATTGTCTAAATTTTTAGCATTATTAGCTATTTTTATATTTATAAAAGAGGAAGTTTGTTTGATAAATAATTTTTGATAGTGTGTGAATAAGGAGTTTTTTTTAAGTGCGTAATTCATTAATAACTTATTGACTTTCTTTTTTCTAAAATGTTTATAAAAACATATTGTATTTGTATGGTTTATTTCCTAAAACATAATGTCTGGGAAATGAAAGTAGACAGTTAATATTTTAAGTTAATAATTTTAGTGATCAGAGGATATGAAGCGTGTTTATTTACTTCACTCTCATTTATCATTACCTTACACACATACACACACTAATAACTGTGTGTGAAGTAATTGTTGAAAATGTGAGGAACTGGGACTACTTCTCAATCTTATTCTATATAACAGTGACGGGACTAATTACCTCAATTACAGGGAATACTTCTATTAAATGTCTAAGCCATTTACCTTTGGTAGGTTGTAGCTTCACAACTTTTCAAATTTGTTTTCGAGGTTTATCGGAATAGTGTGAATTATATGTCAAGTTTGGTGATGAACGTAATCCCGTGAAAAGACTCAAATTGACACAACCCCTGTCTAGTGGGCACTTCTACGTTTTAGAGCCACAAAAAGAGCCTGTTTCTGCCAATCGTCAGCCGAATCCGGAATCTCAACAAAATACATTAAGTAGTAAACGGCGTAAAAGGAAAAAGCAGGCAAAGAACGCAAGCAAAAGGTATAAACAAACTCATTCTGAAATACATTTGCCAAAGATTCAATGGATGGTGAAACATCTATCAACAATGACATAGGTATCATCCGAAAATAGACTATGAAGGAGATAGCTCAGTGGCGATAGGTAACATGACGTTCAAATAATGTAAGTTCTGCGAAGCCTTAAAATGGAAAGAATAAACACAGGGCATGTACTGCAATGTTGGTAAAGTATAGCTACTACCTTTGCAGTACCTACCTAAACCTTTATACCTGGTCATGGGCAACCACCCTGAGCATACACACTTTATGGACCGGGTGTGACATTATAATAGCTGCTTTAATATGACATCCATTGGAGCTGAATTGTTGACTGAAGGCTGTTGGAACTTGAACACTAATTTATTAAAAATAACAACCAATCTGAAAGTTTCCGTAGCGAAGCACGGGTATTCCGCTAGTATATATATATATATATATATATATATGCGAAATATACTAAATATGTGACGCAAGCCATGCATGTAAATATGTTAACTGGCGATAAAGAAATATTTTATTTTATTTGATTAACTATATATTTTGTTATTGTTTTTTATTGTATGAAGTAGTTATAGATAATTATCATAAGTGTAGATAATTTGCGTACTTCTAAAATTGATTGTTTCCTGAACAGTGATGATGAACTAGATTGTGATAGTGATTTTGTCAGTGAGGAAGACAAAATCGCAAAAACAGTACACCGATTTACTATCGTTGGTTACAAAAAAAGATGAAAGTAGGCCTAGTGGTGATGAAGCAAATTTTGGTTTTCAAAATAGGTTGATTGGATTGAGGATGTTGGTCAAACAATGAGGGAATTTCAAGGCCTACTCTAACTGCTTCAGGTAGGCTATCCCCAAAATGACCTACGGTAAAGTCTAAGACAAAATCTTTTTTCTATGTTATTATTTATAAAAGTAAACAACTTGTGATATTTCTACGTGGGGAATTAATTGAACTTAATGATACAGTAGAGTTCCGCTAACTCGGCACTCGATAACCCGGCAGTCAGGATAACTCGGCCATCATCTGGCTCAAAAAATTAGTGATTTTTTTAGTCCGAGTTAAACATGGACTCAAGCCAGCTCAAGTCAAATCATTCACAACTCGTACCAAGGATTTGTTGTACCATATCTGATGACTTAATACTGACTTTTAATATAAATATTAATAAAAAAAGGCGGTTAAATAGCTTAAAAATTGTATTGTTTTTATTTTTAACCCTAGTTCCCGATAACCCGGCATTTCACAAACTCGGCACCCTTCCAGTCCACATTACGCCGAGTTTGGGGGACTCTACTGTAATAGTGTCATTTGGTGTCTGCATTAAGGGTCCGCGGACATCGACTCGGAAAATCTCAGCTAGGACTTCAGTAGATGTTGCGCCATTGAACAGTGCCACGAGAAGCGCTTGCAGACGTTCACGGCAACTGCCTTTGTAAACTACCCATACATGCTAGTAAAAAACAATGAGTGGGGTTTTACAAAACAAAGAACAATCTATGCGTCTCTGATTTTAAAATTGTAAAGTAATAATTCTATAATAACTTCTTGACCAGCATTGTAGCCTACGTGTTATTAATTTACGGAAAGTAAATAAAAGAAACGTCTCATATCACTCAAAACATGTATTTACGCTTATACTGTTACTCACAGGGCGGACCCTTAATCTTGAAATTAGTAAATAAAGTTTAGACTATTTAAAAATAATATTTAATTTTTTTTTTTTTTGTAATTTTAATTTTACACTTTGATTATCCAATTAGCACATTTTTGTAGACAATCTTATTATGAACAAAATGGTGAAAGAATTATTTATTTATTACTTAAGATTTTCTTTCTATAACACTTAAGAGTAAATGTCTACAAATTCAGTAAAATTAATTGCGGACCTTCCCTAAAATTAATTTATATGGTCCTTCCCTAATGAGTTAACAGTTAACATATAAGTAAAAACTCACCTTTGTTAAAGTTAACTCTGTAGAAGATTTCGTCTTTTTGAATTACGTGTTTCTCAGATAAATTTGATAATGTAAAGTCCCCAGTGGTATGTCTCGCTGACCTCTGAGGCGAGGCTCCTGCAAAAATATCAGTAATAATAGAATATTGCTGAATAAACCTAGTAGAAATATATCACAACGTTCACAACTAATTACAACAAACCCTCACACTAAACCAGACTCCAGTAAACACAGACTTGACTGTATCAGGATAAACATTCCATGACAGCATTTTATAAAAATTGCCAAAAGAAAGTTGTAAACTAGAGTCTTATTGTGTTGCATGCTGTTTAGTAGTATGGGATTGCACTGTGACATAGTCCAGAGTGGTGAGAGCAAGTCTTGGTTACTGTCAGCTAAAAATAGCATTTAAAAGATTCTGCCCCTGAATTAATTACTCAACCATATACGTACCCTTGGTAATCAGCTGTTGAATTACAATTCACAATCATTATAAAGCAAGTTGGTCATCATCGCCTGAACCTTTGAAAGCGCCCTTTAGAACTTAATCAAAGGATAGGGGGATGAAACGCCCTAAAGGAAATTACCTCTCGATTACCATTTGCTTATACACTCGATCATAAGCTTTATATTTACCTACAATTAAATTTTAAAAGTCGGTTAAGTAGCGAAGGTGGAAAAAAATGTTACAGAAAAGCTCCACTAATACATTGGACTAATTTCACTTTGAGCTGTTTCATTTATTCAATTCACTTATAGATGATGATTTAACATCTCAAATTACCTCCTGTCGGTACTGCTCCTGGCAAATTTGATTTCTGAGTTTCATTTTGTTGTGTTCTATTTTGTTGGGTATCATCTGAAAAGAAACAATAAATATGGAAGTATATTTAAGTAAAACCAGACACAAACATAAAGGTGTAACCGAATAACTCCTGAACCTAAAACTACCTAATAATAACTATTTTTGTTTTCATGGCAGTCTTGGCCACAAATTTCTCTGACTTGCGTTTGCATAACAATGGACACTACTCACCAACCTTTAGTTTTGTGGTTTATTGTGTTAAAGTAACCAACTAATAAAATACAAGTGTAACTCTAAACCCCTGATGTGTGACTCAAGACCGTCAGCAGCTTCAATACTGCAGCAAACTGATCCTTGTGCTTCCTGCGATTGGTAGTATTTTAATAAGGAAGCTATTTTGATTCTCACAATCTCTGAATACTGGCCTGATGAAGATTGGCGTGACTTGTTCAAAACGATTGCCATCGTAACTTTTATTATGAATATTATTTGTCTTGTAACTTTTTACACTATATGAATAGACATATAAAATAGTGTGTGTATTTCATTACAGAATCAGAATCAGAATCAGAAAAGCTTTATTCAAGATTTATACATTATATACCTACATGAAATATATGCATAAATACAGAATGGCGTCAAAACAGCTTATTACTAATTAAAAATACTTGGTTAAACTAAATAAAACAGGAAAATTTAATTAATGTAATTACATGTTGTAAAACTCTTCAAATGAGTAAAATGCTCTATCAAATTAGTAACAATTTAAGTTTTTTTTTAAAAGACCTAATGTTTTTTATATCAAATATTTCTTTTGGTAGATGGTACAAAAACCTAATACCTGCAGCTGTTGGTTTCTTGTTATAAAACTCCAGTTTGTGTTGTGTTACGGATGGATAATTTTTATGCCTAGTATTATATCTATGATTATCCCCCAGCAGTGGCACCTTGTCTTCAGAAGCCCTCACATGCATAATAGTGTGCAATATATATGAGCTGTAAACGGTTAGAATTTTTAATTTAGGAAAATATTTTTTGGCCGATTCTTCATCATCCAGATTTAACATGATTCTTATTGCCCTTTTTTGAAGGATTAGAATACTTTGTAAATTTTGATTACTTGTAGCTCCATATAACTCAATACCAAATGTAATGTGTGAGTTGATATGTGCATAAACCTTAAGCAATATCTCAAGGGAACAAAATTTTGACAGATTTCTTAAGGCAAATAAACCCGAGGAAATTTTATGTAACAATTTATCCATATGGAGTGACCATGATAAATTTACTTTCTTTTGCTTACATTTGTATACTAGCGATAGCATGTAAAATGCTAGGCCTTATGAAGAGGTTATTTATTCCTTTTGTTATCACTAGTTGAAATTCATTAACTATTAGTGTTCACTTACTATGAATTAACACAGTAGTAAAATCTCACCTTTATGAAGATTAGCTCTGTAGACGGTTTCATCTTTTTGAATTGTAGGTTGTTCGTCCAAACTTAATAAAGCATAGTCTGTAGTAAAATTTCTTGAGGACTTCTGAGGTGTGGCTCCTTCAAAACAACATCAGCAATTAATTATACTATATAAATTGCTTGATGAACAAAGTAGTAAAATATCACCCTGTATTGCAGTAAACCCTGCATATTGCAAGTAAAAACTTGTAACAAATTCAAGAAGTAAGAAGTATGTAGGCCTATCAATAGCCTTCAAGACACAGAACATCATGAGTAAAATACTGCATCCACAAAAAGAAGATATTCAACACAAATAAATTTGAAATTGACAGAAATTTGACGCTTCAGAACGATTGTGTAGTTTTTACATTGGACAAAATAAAAAACCACAAGGCTCTGTTGAGGAACAACCATTTAGAACGAGTTACACAACCCTTGTTACTCACTGAGGAAAATGGAGGACAATCCATATATTTAAAGGAATTGATTTCAAATTACTGATAGACTAATCCAAATCATTTCCACCTTAAAAATTATACTATTTTCAATTTTTTTTTATACATACATTCATTCAAATACATAACTTAATCATGAAAACTTTAATTTTATGATGGGCATTTAACAATAAAAATTCACTGAATCACAATTATTAGAAAGGAGCTCAACTGAGTCGTATTATAACCAGATGAATGAAAAAATACCCCCAGCGTAGAAAACCTGCAGACTAAGCAAGTTTCCATTTGCCTGATTTGATTTTCACTATTAAATAATTTTTCACTATAAGTTATTTAAGGGTACCCAACATTAACATTTGGTTTAAGAGTACCTAGGTTTTCTGCTACAGGGAGGGTAATAAAGTGGGGTTTTTAGTAAAATATTAATAGCTTAGTATAAAATAAAAAAAATTGCCACATTTGATATATCCATATTAAATTATTGAAATCATTGTGCTTAGGGCTACTAGTTGAATGCAACTATCCTTAAAATAAAAATCCATAAACAAGCAAACTTCAACAAGTTTACGTACTTGTTCCCCATAAGAATAACATTGGCCTAGGAATTTAAAATTTAATTTTTTTTTATTTTTCTCTGCAAACCAGTAATTGTACAAAAAACACTTACATATACTAAATTATTTGTTTTTAAACTCTTCAAAATTGGAAATGGAAATGTTGAGGGTCAATAGTGTGGAAAAACTAATTTTTGCCTCATAAAACCTAGGTCTCTTGGTCTGATCATGCCAAAGGGACTCGTTTTTTCTTTGTGAACTCGTTTGTAGGCCTACTGTTTGTAACAAATTTCATTGAAATCGGATGTTTGAGTTATGCACACACACACATAATATATATATGTATGAATTTGAACAGATGGTGTTTTTTGGCCTCTAGGGACCTCAAAACAAAAAATTTAATCCCAGTAAAGTAAGGTTCTGAAAAAGTAGGTCCCGGATCCAGGTCTTGCTATGAAACCTACGGTAATACCTTACTACCTATATGGGAAATCCGCTAAAAATAAGTGAGACGTCTTGGGTAGCTTAGTGAAAATCTAAGATAAGCTGTTTCTTTAGCCACCAGTGATTAAGGATAGGACTAGTTTCAAACCACCAACAAGTTACTGACTTTCCCAGAAACGAACAATCAATGGATTTTGAGGTGGACACTATAACACCTGAACTACCAATTTCTATATTCCACCAAACTGTTAAGCTAGTGACAGTTAGTTATAAACTGTTTTTAAGTATTTAATTCACTTATAGATATTGATTGAATGTTTAGGATTACCTCTTATCGGTGCAGATGGCGAGTTGGGCTTTTGAGTTCCATTTTGTTCTGTTCTGTTTCGTTGGTTATCCTCTGAAAAGAACCATTATATATGGTAAGTATATTTAACTACAAATAAACACAAAATAATCATGCAATGTAATAATTCCTGAATAAAAGTTCCTAATAAAACTAAAACTGTATTGACTTTTGTTCAACATATATTAAAAATAGTTATGTTCCTAATAAGGACATAAACATTTTTTACTAAAGTATTTTGATAGTTCTATCCAACCAAGGAGTTTAGCATCTTTATGTATAGGTATAGGTGTATACAATAGATTACATAAGCTTGGAAGTGATGACAACATAGTGCTAGTAGCCTGTGATTGGGTGATAAGTAGCCATGGCAACTTGTTGAATACTTAGAAGAGAAGCCATATAAAAATAAACAGTATCAGCAATCTGACACATACTTTCTCCCATTAGCTTGCCAACAACCTTTTTCATGGGTAGCGATGAGAGTAACTATGATATTTAATAGGTAAAATCACAAAAGTTCCATTAGCTTTTGAACAGTTATTTTAACAGGAATGATGGAATGCACTGTTTTGTTTAGAATTATAAGGACCATAACAGAAGAATTTCAATCGGAATCGGTTTTTTCAAAAATTCCATTTTCCGTTTTTAAATGGGGTTTTATGGGAAAATAACATATGTTACAATAACTTTTGAACCATAATTTTTACAGCAATGGGGGGTTGCACTATGTTGTTTGGAATTATAAGTATTATCACATACTAATTTCAATCTAAACCAATTCCTTTTGAAAATACGATTTTCTCTTATTTTGTGGGGGTTTTATGGGAAAATTAACATAAAAAATCAAAATTTCAAAAAAAATTTAAAAAAAATTCCAGGAGATACCATGGATTAGTACCTACATCATACCAAATTTCACCAAAATCGAACTACAGATGTCTCTACAGGTGGTCTGTAGCTTTGTACACATCCAGACACACAGACATCACTTCGAAAACCACTTTTTTGTTTTTTGTAACAAAACGGATATATATCCACTCAAAACTCAAACTTGAAAGTTTTGACAAAAACAATACCTACTTTCTCCATATAGGCCTACTTATGTATGGTAGCCTATAGGGAGAGAAAGTAAAAAAAAACAACGAGAAATAAAAACATTGGTGTGTGTCCTTTAAGCGAATTCACCAGTAGGGAAGTAGCTATTCTCGTTCCGTAGATGGCCGTAAGACCTAGACCCGGGACCGATTTACTTTTTCATTTTGATGTCCCCAGAGGCCAAACACACTATTTGTACAAATTTATGTGTGTGTGTCCGTAAACTTGATAACTTGAGTAATTTTGGTCCAATTTAGATTAAATTTGGCTCGAAGGTGTATGGCGAGATAAACATGAGTGAGTTTGTGAACCACCAAGATAAGATCATTGGAACTTGGTTACAAAAAAACTGTCGGTTCTTGTATGACGGTTTCAAATAGCCATTCACTTCTACAGTATAGAAAGTCTGGCACCAAACGTTTTTTTGTGGTTTGTACAGAATCTCTTTATCATTATAGTGTTTAAGAATTTTTGAAACTAGGTCTTTACTTTCTCTCCCTATAGTAGCCTATATGGAGAAAGTATTGTTTTCATCCAAATTTTTTAGTTTGAGTTTTGAGTGAATATATCCGTTTTGGGCCCCCCTGAACCCAATAAAGTGGTAATTGAAGTGATGTCTGTAAGTGTGGGTGTGTACAGAGCTACAGACCACCTGTGGTCCGATTTTAATGAAATTTGGTATGTAGGTACAAATCCATGATATCATCATGTGGTGGATTTTAAATAAAAATTTAGTATGTTGTAGAACTTTCAATTCTGAACAAAACGGTAGAAATCCCATTCCTGTAAAAGTTACAGTTCAAAATTTATTTTAAATTAGGCCTATATTATTTTCCCATAAAATAAGAGAAAATCTTATATTGAAAAAAGCCAGTTTTGATTGAAATTAGTATGTGATGGTCCTTATAACTCTCAAAAACATAGTGCAGCCCCCTACTGTATTGCTGAACATCATGTAAAGCTTAAAAAATTAATAATTTTGTATGTTGAAGTGTTACAAAAGTACAGTTGAGGTGTTTAGCTGTACAGTTAAAGGTAGGCTACTGTAATGGAAAAAATAAAAAAAACTTCACATTTAAAATTCTAATCTTATTCTTAGGCTATGGAGGAAAAGAATACCCCCGCCGCAGCAAACCTGCCGTCTAAGCGAATTTCCATTTGGCCGAATTGATTTTCAATTGATCTATTTAAATAACATTAGGTTTAACGAGTACCTAGGTTTGCTGCTACAAGGAAACTAATAAAGTAGTGTGTTTTTGGTAAAATATTGATAGCTTACTATAAAATAAATAAATTTGCCAAGTTTGATCAAAATATATCCATAAACAAGCAAACTACAACATTTTACAATATTCTCCATAAGAATAACATGGGAATTTTAAATTTACCATTTTTTTAGTTTTCTCCGTAACCAATAACCGAACAAAAACACTTTGATATACTGAATTGTTTGTTTTTTTAAGCTCTTTAAGAAGGTTTAGAGAAAAATTGGGAAATTTTGTGTTTTGAGGGTAAGAAGTGAGAAAAACCAATTTTTACCCCATAAAACCCTGTTCCCATGGTCCGATCATGCTGGATCGCGAACTCATTCAAGTTTATCCCGCCTTACACTATCAAACCAAATTTCATCAAAATCGGATAAAAATTACTCAAGTTATCGTGTTCACGGACACATATATATATATATATATAAATCTATATATCTATATATATATACATATATAAAAATTTGAACAAATGGTGTTTTTGGCCTCTGGGGACATTAAAATGAAAAAGTAAATCGGTCCCGGGCCTAAGTCTTACCATGAGACCTACGGTAATAGCTACTTCCCTATAGGGAAATTCGCTAAAACTGTTGTAGTTTGCTTGTATTTTTATTTTGAATGCAATATAGTTTAGCTAATTACTAATTATTTAAAGCTAATGAACACTAAAACTCACCGTTAACAGTTACTTCTGGCTCCCAGGGCCTAAAATCATCGGTGACAGTACAAACGTTTTGTATGACAGGACTTGATGGATTAGAATTGTCAGCCTGCAAAGGGTCTTTTTCCAAATTCTCGTTTGCGATAAGGTTAGGCTCATCACATAAAACATCACAATCGATAATTTTAGGGGAGGCTGGTTGACTAGATGTTAATGTTCCAGAGAACATAATCACCGGGACCTGAGTTCCGATGTCTTCTGACATACTTGTACTGGACAATTGACTGGTAGAAGGTTCATGTCTTGTAACCGCATTGTGAGGTTGATCAGGGTGGTTTTTGGGTAGCCAGGGCATGCAAATCGTCGATGAAAGGGACTGATCTTTTTCTTTTACATACTTTGGTACCCATTTTTCTAGCATATACTGCTCGAATTTGGGGTTGAAGGTCCAAACCAACTCGTTATTTTCATTGGATCCGATTAGAGTGAAAAACTTCTTACGGTTTCTCAGAGCGCTATAGATAGATGTTCTCCAGTCAGGATATGTGAGATGTGCGTAGTAAGGATGTTTTTTAGCGATGGATTCACATATCTGTAATCCTGAGGCTCTTCTCAAGGGAGCTGTGGCCAGGGCCTGTGTGATCAGTCTACAATAATTGTATGACGGTTTCGTATAGCCATTTACTTCCACAGGATATAAAGTCCTGCACGTCCTTGTACGTCCTTGGGTTTGTACATCTCCTTTATCACCAACTAGCGATGAATCGTTTCCTGCAACAAAATGAAAGCATGATTAAGCTCTGTCAAAATTGTTCATTCCAATAAAAATTGTGTACGTCCCTAGTCAATTTACAATATATGATACGATAGTAGGCCTATGGTATTTGTTTTAACTAAAATAATGGTAGACCTACAGTATATGAAAATAAAAGGATAAAATTCTAAATTAACTTAAAGCAGCATTACAATAACTATTTAAAGATTAATCACATGGGCTGCAAATGCACGTTTGATATGTATTTTTAGTATCTGTTTATCATCAAGATTATGAAAAAGCATTTTGGGGACAAATTCACTTTCTTTACTTTAATAATTCTTCAACAAAATAGTTTATTGATTCAACTCTAAGCTTAAAACTATGATTATTTCTTCTGGTTGTCTCACAAATCATAAGATCAAGTAGCTGACAGTATGAATGTGTTTATTTTTTAAATAAGTGCAAGAGTAACAGTTTCAATTTCTTGGATACCTTCAAGACAGAAACTTAAGTTAGTAAAAAAATCAAAGACCAGTATTACAGCTCACAAGCCAAGTTAGGCCAAAAAGACTATTTTCATGAACCAAAATTTTGCATATTTTACAAAATTTTAATATGAGCTTACTTTGCCAGTTGAGTATTGTTTCATATTGTTTAATACACTAACAACCCTAAAATGAGTTTGAACATAGTTTGTTTCAAACTAACTGAACATCATTTTGGAAAGTTAGTTGGGAAAATTGATCTGAGGTATTTTATGTAATCTGAATTTTTGGGACAATCGACAAGATTGGTGTAGTGGTTCGCGATTAGTAATGGTCAATGTTCAATTGCCCAAGCTTTTATACTGTCAATCTCGATCTTTCCAATCTGTTACCTATGTATGTTTAGCCTTAATGTAGGAAATTACTGGTTTATTAGACTCAATATTTTGATCTTGTCACTTTTCCCTAAGATATTTTGTTATAAGGTTGAGGATAAAAATAAGAATCGTTTACCTGCATCGTCGCAGTCTTCAGTATTTTCGTCACTGCTTGTTATTTTCTCTACTGTATCACCATTATTAATATTTATTTTTGGCATTTTAGACTTTATAATTTTAGTTTCTAAATCAATTCTTTTCAAAAAAACACTGCACTGTTTTATTTTATTTGCGGATTTTACAATGTCAAGATGCATTGATTTAATATCTTTAGAGGTTTCATTTTGAACACTCGAAGGTGGTGTTATTTCTTTGTTTTGATTTGACGGAATGGAAGTGGAGTTGGGGGTTGGCATAGCAGTGGAATCCAAATTAATCACAGTAGGAAGAGATTTGTTTGTAGACAAGGATGGAATATCCTCAGTTGATGTAGTGGAAATAGTATTTCCAACTGAAGAAGTATGAATTGGATCCGTAGCAGAGCAGCTGTTTTGTGATGTACTTTTTTGACAGGTTAACACGTGTTCTGTTGATGAAAGATCCTTCAAATCAGATTCCAGAAGTGACTCTTGTATATCTTTAACTGATGAGTGGGAACTATCAGGAACTGCTAAGATATTTTCATTAAAAGTTCTTTCAGTGAAAACTTCTTTATCACTTTTTGCTGTTGTCAACACATTTCCAGAGTTGTTTATTTCACAATGAACATGTGGAGAGCAATCGTTTGCTTGTGCAGGGAAAATACTGTTATTACCATCTGCTGATGAATTAGTATTAGATGACTCTGACAAAATAGTTTTAGTCACTGGTTTTAATTTATCAGCTGTATCAACCAGTTTGAATGGTAAACCTTCATACCATTCCTCTGCTGAAGAAGAAAATGGAGAAGTACTTTCTAATACACGATTTTGATTCCTTACATCTGGATAATCACTACTAGAGCCTGTAGTGTTGACTTGTATTTCAGACACTTTTTTGGCAACTTGCTTACTGATCATACTACATGTGTCAGCATTTTCTAAAGCCGATAAGTGAATGTTAATGTTAATCAAAGAAGCTTCTGAATGAGGTGTCCTTCCTTGATCTGGATTAGCTTTGTTGGCTGATGCATAAAATGATGAAGGCAACACAGGTAAGCTACTGATGAAATCACCGACAGAACTACGAGTAAGTGAATCAATGCTCACATTTGTGTTGAACGTGTTTTCTGGAGGACAGACCAAACTGGAACTGAAATTTCCTCGTGGAGTACATGGATTAGTTTGAGATGAGGAAGCAGAAGTATTTTTTTGTTTGGTAAAGCTGGAGAAATCACAATCGGTCAATTCAGTATCATTCACAAAAGTATTACCTAATTGACTTGAATTTCGCAAAGCATGGGAGTTTGAGGAAGGAGAATCAAAATCAGGTTCATTTTGAGTTTGCCGTTGACAAGGTGAAGCATGTATGTTAAGACTAATCAACTGATTTGAAGTTTGGTTGTACGGCTCTTTAGAAATGTTGAAATTTCCATGAGGCCAAAAACTGTTAGAAATATCACTTTTATAACGATTTTGAGTGTGGGGCAAATTACTGCTCAACGGTGATACAGAACCTTGGACATTTTGTGAGATGAAACTACTCAAAGAATTTGAATTGGTCTCTTCCTTAAAGTTCTTGGTTTCATATGAATTTTGAGGTACATTATACCGATTAAAAGCTCCTTTGATTGGGATATTTAAGCCGGCATGAGTGCTTAAAATATTCTCTTCTGTGAACTTTCTCATAAATACATTTGGGGTTTGGTTGGGTGAATATGGTTTAAACGTACTGGAATGCTTATAGTCTGGACTATAACTCTTAATTGCATTTGGTCTCACAGGTTTTACAGGTTCTGACTTTCGTTGACTAAAATACTGGAGATCTCTATGCATTTCTCTTGGAGTTGACTGTTGATCATCGTTCAAGCTAGACATGTATGTATTAGACGGCCATTTTGAAACCTCTGGTAAATTCATCCCTGAGTAAGGGTCAATCCACCTGTAAGATGTTTCCAGAGAAGACATCCGTGGTTCGTTTGCTGAGTGAAATGAGATACTATGAACATCACTGTTGTGAGTGCTTTCTATATTTCCATTAAAATATGATCCTTTATCAGGTGATGACGGAGCAAGGCGGTTGTTCAACAATGAAGATTCAGAAATAGGATGTTGATTCCCAAAACCACGGGCATTCACAGATGACCTTGAGGGATAAAACAGTGATGTTTGCAACTCTACATTTGAAACTATTTGCCAAAGATTTGTTCTGGGATCTGAAGCAAAAGTAGGATCTAAAACAAGTACATGTCTCACAGCATTTTGCCAGGCACCACCAGGCTTGTAGTATGGAAAAATGCCCGATATAAGAAAATAAATATCACGTAATTCCAATGGCTTTGACCTAACCAATTCAAATGCTTTTATAATCAATTCCTTGTAGGAATGAGGTGGTCTATCGTAATCCATTTGAAAGTAGGAAGACATTGTTGGGTGTCTCAGGTTCATATTTGTTCTTTGACACTTGTTAAAGGAGGGTAAATTCCCTTCTTTTATCAATATAAGCCACCCTCAGGCTAGTTCTTTCCACATCTCCAAGTGTCAACAGCTGAAACAATTCAGTTTCTGATAGTTTCATCTTAAGGTAATAGTTTTAATCTTAAAACACCTATTAATGCATTATGTTAGTACAAGCAAATTGTTGCAAATAGCAATGGTATTTAATCGCTATGCAACTTTATTGATACCAGAGTAAACAGACAAGGATAACCCTTACAAAACCATGCAGTGATTTCAACCTCTAGTCCGGCTTCATAAATACATGCTCTGTGTTGACATCAGCATATTGGTGATACAGGTCTGTCTCTAAGTGGGATATTTTCTTCAACTAGGGTATTTACTAAATTTGAATCCCCCAAAAGTCTCTAATATGGATGAATTAAAGTAATTTGTTAACGTTAGGCTAAGTTTTATGTCCTATAGGTTTTTAGAGGTTGGCTGTAAAAAATATCTGTGAGGTAGTAGGCATAAATTTGTCACAATAAAGAAGTATTTGAACAACAATGAGTACACAAATGGTAGGCTATATTGTTTATCTCTTGCAAGTAGAATTGCTTACTTTGCATGGCTTACCCATTTTGGCACAAAAAAATGTAAAAAAATAGTTTTACATAGAAAAGTACTAGGCTAAAGAACAACAAACTACTAGTGTAGCCGTTGTGTATAAAGAGTAGGCTACTAATACGGTGTAAGTAGTTGATCAGGATTAAATTGAAAATCTTAATCTTAACATTTGTTTTATTGTACGGTAGTGAGAATCTTAAATTTCAAACGTTAACGTATCTCATTCATAATAGGTATTTATTCAATAAAATCTTGTTGCCGGGATTGATTTATTTTAAGCCTGATAAGAATAAGAAATATTTATTTCTATTGATCTTTATAAAAGAAATAGGACACATATGTTATACATCGTTTCGAGGTTATTCGGTGTTTACAGTACAATATATATATATATATATAAAATTTAAATAACCACTTGTATGAAAACAAAAGCTTTATTTTAACCTAATCTTCAAAATCTAATAATTATTTCACAATTTATATAGCCTATAATCATCAATTTTGTAAAAAAGGATTTTTAACCATCCAGTCATACAGTTTTTTTTTTTTTTTAATACAAGAAACTAATTTTGCTTCTTCATGCAGCTTTATTAAAACACTTTATACAATTTAATTTATGTGAATATTCAGTTTTTGCCAAACTGTGCTGCAATATATCTATTTTATCCCTAACTCTTGTATAGTGGTTGTGTATGTCTTTTCTGAAAGTGAATTGATCTAACTTTAATTTTGTACATAGGCTATTGATTTACTACGGTTGGTATTATATGGTATCCTGAAATTAATGAAAAGAGTTTTACAGTGTGTAGCTGAGCATTCTCCAGCAATGCTTTGAACCGCCTTTTTTTGGAGTAAAAGGATGTCATTAATATGTGGAGAGTGGCCCCATAAATAAGACCATATAGTATGTAAGTGATTGATGTATTAATTGCTAAATATTACAGTTTATTTAGAAAACAAAGCAACCTCTGCTATGACTTGGTGTGGTGTCCTGGGAATGTTAACTGTTCCTCTTGCACTTAGTTCAACAAGGTAACTAGCTTAATAAGGCAACCAAATACCAAGGTGAATAGTTGAAAGCTACTTAAAAGAGTTAAGGTCAGGTGGGGAAGTGTTCGCTGACCACCAACTTTTTGTTTTTAACTAAAAAAAATACATGAAAGTTATCACAAAACCTTAACTTTTTGTCTTTGTTAACAAAGTTAAAATTTTAAACTAGAAAAAAATTATAGATTTTAGGCCTAGGCCTATGGAAAGAAATTCAAAACATTACATTTTTACTTTAAATCAGGGATTCTAAGGTTTTTCAAAACATTGTATACAAAAGTTTTTGTTTCCATGCAAGTACTTAGAGGATTTGTTTTTAAATAAGAATAATATTAAAGTTGTTATAACTTGGTTACAAGTTAAAAAACATTTTTCTTTTCATTTGTAGGGGGGGTTCGCACTTACCCCTCAATTTTGTAAAGATGGGGTCAAAGCAATAGGGGCTATGCAGTAACAACGCTGCAATAATATAGGAATAGTCCAGGAGCTGAGGGGGCTGGAGCATGCATGAAAGTAGTACGCAATGTTATTGCTGATTATTGTAATATGGACTGTGGTGATCAAAATTACGTATGTCGCCTATTTCAAAAGTGGTCGATAAGGTGGGCGGGAGGGGGCAAACATGGCGGTTTTGCGCTATGCGTTAAAACGCTGGTATTTCGAAAACGGTAAAAGATAGAACATCGGTTAAAACGTCGTTGTAATTCTAAAAATGTGGACTACAATAATGATTATTGAGTCCGAGGTCATATCTCTATAAATAAACAAGTTATTGTATAAAATATGTAAAAATGGACTTTTAGTGGAGTTTTTGTTACCGAAAGTAGAATTAATTTGTGAGTGTCGCAAAGAAGTAATAGCCTATCAATTATCTTTGCTGATAGTTGTAATATGGACTGTGGTGATAAAAAATACGCATGTCGCCTACTTTTCAGGTGGTTGAGAACATGTGGGGAGGGGGGCAAAGATGGCGGAACGCGCTATGCATTGAAACGACTGTAGCTCGATAACGGTACGAGATGGGACATCGGTTAAAACGTAGTTTTAATCCAAAACATATGGCCAATAGAAAAGGTGATTGGGTAAAAAGTTGTATCTTAACTAATAAAGTTATAACAATAATATGTTTAACAAAATCTACATTATACAGCTATTTTCTTCAAAAATCATATGGATTGTTGATGAATAATAGTGTAATTACTTAATTACTCGGCTGAATATTAACCAGATGCATTTTCTTATAAGAAAAAAATATATTATTACAAATACATATGGTTTAAAATGTAAAACACGGCCTCCAAACTACGTATAATACTCGGGGTTTCGCCGCAATCAAATGCATAATACAGATTACCACTACAAATCCAATTTTAATTATAATGTTATAGCTTATTACTATATGATTATGTAACAGATTCTTATTTATTTATTTGTTTATTTATTCATTCCGACGGCAATCGCCATTTTACAAAATAATACATTGACAAGATTTACATGCAACATTAAGATTTACATGCTTATTAAATACAGTTATATGAAATAAAAAACATAACTACAAAAGTAAATACCTTATAATAAAAATTACGGTAAGTCTCTTCATTCTATCCATAACAATTACACTGGTTGTTCATATTATTTGTTGAATTGAAATAGGTAGGCCTACCTAACTTTTGTAAGTTGTTGAAATTTTACTTTAAAATTGCCTAATCCACTAGTCACTAAGAACAAACGTATATAAAAACCAGCCACACACAATTTAAAATAAACGGTATCAGCATTCTGACACATACTTTCTCCTATAAGTTTTTCAACAACCTTTATCATGTGTAAGCCGTGAAAGTAAATATACGGAAATGTAATTTGTACGATTTTGTTCAGAATTTAAAGGACTAGGCCTACATACTAATTTTTTTCAAAATCGTTCGGGCCATTTTTGTAAAAATCTGATTTTTCCGTTATTTTATGGGGTTTTTATGGGGAAATAACATAATTTACAATAACTTTTGAACCATAATTTTTATAGAAATGGGATTTGTACCATTTTGTTCAGAATATAAAGGACTATAACATACTAAATTTTTTATCAAAATCGTTCGAGCCGTTTTTGGGAAAATCCTATTTTTCTGTTATTTTATGGGGTTTTGTGGGAAAATTCCCATTAAAAATTAAAAGTTTTTTAAAAATGAAAAAAACTATCAAAACTTTAAGGACCATAACATACTATGTTAAAATAAAACCGGATTTTTTTCTAAAATCCTATTTTTCGTTATTTTATTGGGTTTTTATGGGAAAATAACATAATTTACCATAACTTTTGAACCGTAATTTTTACAGAAATGGGATTTGTACTATTTTGTTCAGAATTTAAAGGGCTACAACATACTAAATTTTTATCAAAATCGTTCGGGCCATTTTCGAGAAAATCCAATTTTTCAGGTTTTTTATGGGTTTTTATGGGAAAATCCCCATTAAAAATCAAAATTTCAAAAAAATGAAAAAAACGCCTGGAGATACCATGAATTAGAACCTACATACCAAATTTCATCGAAATCGGACCACAGGTGTAGTCCCTAGCTCTGTACACATCCAGACACACAGACACACACACAGACATCACATCGAAAACCACTTTTTTGGGTCCAGGGGGACCCAAAACGAATATATCCACTCAAAACTCAAACTCAAAAATTTTGACGAAAACAATACTTTCTCCATATACTATGGTATAGGGGGAGAAAGTAAAAACGTAAGCAACTTAAAATAAAGTGTAATTGAAATTTAAAATATTTAAATAACTAGGCGATATAATTGAGTTGAAAGGCAATGAACTTTAGGGGGATTAACAGTCACTAGTTAACCGCCCGTGCTCTGCCACGGGAATATTGTCAGCAATAAAAGAAATAATAATTAACAAATACTGTTAATCTTTGTATTTTATTTAGGGGTTGTTTAATTTTTTACATGAAATAGAACTGATAGTTTGCCTGTATAAACTATTTTATGTTAATCAAATCGATATATTATTTTAACCAAATGAATGTTTTATATTAATTCGAGTTTCATTTGAAAAAAATTGTATACGAACTGGGCAATGCTGATAACTTAATAAGCAGCTATTTATGATATTTAGATAGTTTGCTCAAATATATTCCTATATTCGTCGTTTTTTTTCATTACCTATAGTCATTAAACCATAGTTATATTTTACTTAAATAGTTTTTTTGTCTCTTTTGACCCTTAATACTTTTTTTATAGTCGCTGTTGATAAGATTTTCCATAAACTCAAAATGTTGATAAGGCTTCCCCTTGTGACAACATAAGGAAAAATATTTGTGTCCAAGTTAGTCTAGGTTCTGACTCAAAATTCATAGATTTGCAGTAAGTGACAAATCCAATCTAACGACCCCAATTCAAAAAAAATTGTATTTTTTAGAAGGG